CTTGACGTGACTTGACTTGACTTGACTTTGACTTTTCCCCACCTCTGGCCTAGAGGTGAGAAGCAGACGTCTTTCTCTCCCTTCTTGTATCGCCTGCTGTATGGCTGTGTTGTGTTTGTCCAGTGTTTCTCTCACCTCTTCTGTCCATCTTTCTCTGGGCCTGCCCACCCATTGACTTCATTGTTGACCTCAATCCCTGTATTTCCTCTATGACCTGCAACATCTGCTTCCTTGTCACAGGGAATGTTTTAGTCCTCATTTGTTCCTCCTTTGTTCCTCCTCTGTCCCTCCTTTGTTCCTCCTGTCTCCCTCCTTTGTCCCTCCTTTGTTCCTCCTTTGTCCCTCTTTTGTCCCTCCTTTGTGCCTCCTTTGTCCCCCTTTGTCCATCCTTTGTCCATCCTTTGTCCCTTTCCCTCCTTTGTCCCTTTCCCTCCTTTGTTCCTCCTTTGTCCCTCCTTTGTTCCTCCTTTGTCCCTCCTTTGTCCCTCCTTTGTTCCTCCTTTGTCCCTCTCCCTCCTTTGTTCCTAATTGCGTCCCTCCTTTGTTCCTCCTTTCCTCAGGGAATATTCTCGTCCTCATCGTGTTCCTGAAGAGTTTGCGCATGCGCACCCGCACCAACCTGTTCCTGGGCAACCTGGCTCTGGCGGACCTGCTAGTGGGCGTGTTCTGTGTGGTGCCCAACATGTGTCATTATGTGCTGGAACAGTGGTATCTGGGGCAGGTGTGTTCTGTATGTGTTCTGTGTGTGTGTTCTGTGCGTGTCACTACACGGTGTGTGTGTGTTCTGTGTGTGTTCTGTGTGTGTCACTACACGGTGGGTGTGTTCTGTGTGTGCTCTGTGTGTGTTCTGTGTGTGTCACTATACGGTGGGTGTGTTCTGTGTGTGTTATGTGTGTGTCACTACACGGTGGGTGTGTTCTGTGTGTGCTCTGTGTGTGTTCTGTGTGTGTCACTATACGGTGGGTGTGTTCTGTGTGTGTTATGTGTGTGTCACTACACGGTGGGTGTGTTCTGTGTGTGCTCTGTGTGTGTTCTGGGTGCACGGCTTACTAGAATAATCAGGCCTCCCCAGCGGGGGTGTAGTCTGAAAATCTGCCGTCGTAAGGGAAAACGACGAATGGTCCTGCGCAGGTAGCGAGGTAAATTTTTCAGGAGAGGCAAAAACAGTTTTCCATTTATAACTCTTCTATTTTTCACTCTTTTAAGCTGTGATTCACCAGATATCTGATTGAGGTGTTCATAGAGCAGTTTCTAAAGTTTGAATGGTTTAGGTTAAAAAGTAACAAAGTTATTCGACATTCGTCGTTCTCCCTTACACTGCGCGCCGCAGGTGAGCCTTGCGATGTAAGGGAAAACGACGAACGG